GCCATTGTTGTATTTTCTGCACCACTTTGCGCATGCTTTTATATCCACTCATCTAATTGCAGACACGTGGGTGTGTTAATTGTTCATCAGTGTTAATTGTTCATGTGTCTCTGATGTGCACATCACTCTGAGGACTAATTGTTTTCACATTTATTTATTATAACAGTTTCCCAGCATCACATCTAAGAATCGCAAAAGGATCAACAGCTGTAGAAACAAACATACGCCAGCCATGAAGTTGGCGTGAGGCACCGCACATTTCCACAGTCACTGCACTTAGATTTGTTTGTTTTACTTGTATTTTACAATGTATGAGCAGATTGTGTAGATGTTATCCATTATATCCATTTATCCAGTGAAAATGGGCTTATAAAAGCGAAAAATGGCTAGAATGGCTCTTGAGAAAGCTTTTGATAATGAGAAATTATCAACAGCTACTCATGACAAAGTCCTGGCTTAGGAAAAATCAGCAACTGTTGCTCTTGAGAAGGCACTGCTTAAGAAAAAAAGCAGACAAAGCAGCTCTCCAGAAGTCTCTGCAAAAGAGGAAAAGAGGACATTATTTCTGACCTTCAGGCTACACTTGAAGGAAATTAGTATGACTCTGCAAAAGTCCAGCTGAAGGCGGAGACCGATATCTGAACTCAAAAGCTGTGACAAGTAGATGCAAATGACAGGCTAGCTTAGGAGAAAGACAAGGAAATCCAGAAGGTTCAGGACCAAGTCATTCAGCTTTAAAAGAGACACTTAAACACAAAAGCTTCCCAGTTCCAGGTACAGAAACTTTAAGAGGTCAGAGCTAAAGACCATCAGCTGCTCTCACCAAAGACAAACACAAAGCAGATGGCCGCAGACCTCACTGAAGAACGAAAACAAGAGCTCGCGTCTGCAGATTGATGTTACAGCAGCTCAGTCCCAACAGAAGAAAGCTGAAAAGTATTCATCTAACCCATGAGACTAAAGACAGCAAATCCTCTCTGGAAAAATCTGTTGTGACCCAACTGTGACAAAGACTGGAGAATGAGACTGAGCACACGTCAGCTCTGATGGTGCAGACTGTGGGACAGGCCATTAGAGCTAAAGATGAGCTAAAGAATCAGTCAGCTGAGGTCTGAGCTCTTTGAGTAGAAGAGACACATCAATTAAGCACCAAGACACACCAAAGATAATGTAGGGACGTGTGTTTATATTTGCTCTGTGACAGGAGATTACAAAGGCAGTACTATCTCACTCTTTCAAGCCAATTGGTCAAGGCAGATGGACTCCCATAGAGCCTGGCTATGTTCCAGATTTCTGCCTGTTAAAAAAAAGCATTTCCACACCACCGTCACCAAAGTGCTTGCTCATTGGGGGAATTGTACCCTGGAAATCCAGAGTTCTCGCGAGAGCACAATTTGAATTTGCTCAGCGAGTCACTCTGGCAATCAGTAATGATGCTCATTACCCATGCCCTTGTAGCCGAGCTGCACCAATCACATCGGTGTATCTGATATAGGCGGGGCAGAGGCGAGCCAGTCAGTCCAGAATCAGTCAGTAAACATTGCAAGATGGCTACGGATGAACACCAGTTGTTTGAAACGGCTTTGGCCGCTACAATGAACGAGTTAGACTTGGCTTTTTCTCTAAAAGAGGAACAGAAGATGGCGCTCGAATCTTTCCTTTGCAAGAAGGATGTTTTTGCTGTCTTGCCAACCGGATACGGTAAGAGTCTAATCTACCAGTTAGCTCCACAGGTAGCTAAGCGCTAAGTATTGTTCTGATTGGTCGTAGTGTTATCCAACTGCATGCAGTGATATTTTCAAATGCATGCTGGGTGCCGCCCCTCGAGTTGGGCCATTTTCATTACTTATAGCCAGACCCTAAATCTTTCTAGATTTGGGTCTGGATTTCCAGGCTAGGGGAATTGTTGGGTCTCTGTAAATTAAAGAGTATGGTCTAGACCTACTCACTATGTTAAGTGTCCTGAGATAACTTTTGTGGTGGTATGTAAATAAAACTTACTTGACTTGACTTGATGGGGAGGGACTGTCCTGGAGAGGCCCTGCAACATCACAAAATACAAACACATCTGGTATTACTGAGTAGGAGAAGATTACTGTGCCTTTCCTCAGCTGTCTTCATGCAGCCTCATTGTTGATATCACTACTGGCAATTGAAGCATGTAGGGGAAAGCACAGTTTGACCATCATGTTCATGTTCAGAGCCTGAACATGTAGCCTCTCCATCACCCTGCAGCAGAGGTGAGGTACCTCATACTTCCCATCAGCCAGCAGAACTGATCTTGGATGATGGAATATCTTAACCAAACTAAGGATTTTATTTCAAACCATGATATGAAATACAACAAAACAGTTGATACAAAACAGTAAATTCAACAATATTCATATATAATATTCCCACAAGGAAAATGTGGCATTGCGCAAGTGGCAACCATAGACTGTAAAAAATAATGGATATAGCTACCTTGACTTCACCCATTGATTTGTTGACTTATGTTTTAGCCTTGAGTTCGGCATTTCATCGCTATCTTGGTATTTTTGGAGCCAGAAGTGACCCTATCAGGAGGAGAGGGTGGAGCTTTGGAGGAGCGAGGGGTGGATCAGACTAAGAAGCCAAGGACACTATGGGCAGACAGCCTGTCACTCAAAATGGCTAAAATGTAAATGGGTGAGTTATATAGACATTCACCACCTATGAAGTTGTCATGAAGGGGGAAGGTAGCTATAGAGTCTAAACTGTTTTTTGTACCAGGCTGTGAACATGTGTATTTCTGCTGTAACTGGGACATGATAACATGGGAGTCTATGGGGATTGATTGGCTTCTGGAGCCAGCCTCAAGTGGTTAAGGAACTGGAGTTTTTGGCACTTTGTTGGCTTCATTTTTCAGCCCTGGAGGTTGCCCAACAGCAGGTGTTGCAACTCTCAGTGTTGACGACTTTTGGTCTTGGTACAGAGAGTCTTTTTTTGAGTTTATTTTGTCTAAAACCAAGGATATGATCACTGAATTATGGAAGTCAGCACCCTACCAAACACTGACAGATACTGAGGGAAATGAAACTGACCTGGTGGAAAATCACAAGTATATTTGACGAGTTGAGCTTCCAACCAAATTCAAATGAAATTTCAAAAAAGGTCCAACAGTGTCTGTATTTCCTTAGAAAAATGAACTTTTTTACTGTGTGCGCACCAATGATGACTGTTTTCAAAAAGTTTCATTGAGTCTTTTCTGTCCCTCTAAACTGAAGCATAGTTTGCAAATCTGAATCTGGCCAATAAGAAAAGCTGTCGCCGGCTTGTCAAAGTGGCCGGCAAAGTTACTGTAGTGCGTCAGCTGCAGCTCTCTGACCTCTACTGTAGGCAGGTCCTAAGGAAGGCCCAGGCCATACTGAAGAGTCCTGAACACCCCCTGCAGAGGCAGTTTGACCTTCTACCTTCAGGCTGTAGATACGGGGTTACTGCTCAGAGGACAAATGAGACATAAAGGCTGTTTTGCTTGCACTTAGCAATTAGTAGCCTGAAGTTGCACATGATCTGGGCACCTAAGTACTTTATGTATTCAGCATTTGGCAGTTTCTTGCACTGTCTTTGTTTGGGGTGATCTCACATTTGTACAGTTTGTCCTTGTTGTTGATCTGGATTGTTGCATTATGGTATTGTTTTTGTTTTTTTAGTATGATGGATGTATTTTTTTATCTGTTTGCAACCAAATTTCCCCAGGAGGGATAACAAAGGTTTGACTTGACTTGTAGCTGTTGAGCTCAGTAAATGATTCCATGTGATTATTACACTTTATATTACATCTAGAGGCATGTTTTTCCTTCTTGCATTACTATCATATTTTTAATATACTCACACAGGTACTTGTTCTAACATTTGAATACAATGATAAGCATTATGTTGATTTTTAGCAGTACAGCCTGTCTGCCCCACGTCTATCAGAGAATAAAGTTGAAATTTTACTTTTGGACACTAGATGGCAGGAGCACTGCAGAACTAACTGTCTGCTGTTCGCACAACAGTTCAACTTCCCTTCTTGGCTAGATATAAACCTGTACATCTTATGTGAGAGACAACTGATTTAAAGAAAATGTGGCAAAATGAACTATGATTATGACCATCACTACATTATAACAAAGGCTAAGGGGTGCTCTATAATTTTTTTGTAAATATGGTGTGAAAGTTGTGTTTTGGGGGTTTTGTTTTTTTTCCCCAAAAAATGACAGCATTGGATTCACTTCCACAGTCCACTAAAAATACATGAGGATATTTTTAAAGTTGCTACTTTGCTTCTTCCAGCATTTGAAGAACTGCTGTTAGAGGGAATAGAAAGTCGAGAAGGGACTTTTTGCGATGACTCTTACTGTTTGTGGTCCAGAGGATAAAAGCGGGGGACAGGAGGGAGGAAAAGAAGACATGTGGATACATAGGAGTTGGTGAAAGAGAGTAAAATATAGTAGATGTACTATACAAAAAACAGGCTGTTTACTCTGACTAATCATGGCATGAGGTTAGCAGTCGTTGGGGCAACTGGCCAGCCATCCACCGAGGCCTCAGAGGCAAACAGGAAGTGGAGTGAGAACTGAGAACAGCAACTGAAACTGAAACAGCAGTTACTGCTCTGGTTAAACTGAGTGAGCTGTGTGTAAATGTGTGAAACATGGAGACATCTGCTCTGACACAAAGCTAAACCACACACACGAATAAAAGTATTTTCCACTCGGAACACAAACCCCTCAGTAGTCTTGTGCAGTCATTACATGTACAAACTCGCATACCTCAGCACCAAAGCTTTATTTCTCATCTCAAACCTGAGCTCTAACCCCATTTTTTCCCACTAAGGACAGGCAGCATGTCCTTTACATAGTAGAGAAAGTTATTTTGCTTAACAGCAATATATAAAAGTTCTCAGTCTCTCAGAAGCCATAAAACTGGACTCTGATCTTTATGAGTGCACAAGATAAACTGTCAGCAATCCTTTGTCATAAAGCATGTTGAACACCTCAGAATAAATACAAAAACAGTCTTTATTTAGATTTACATGTTGATTCACATGTAGTTTTCATAATGTACAGAGAATAAACAGTGGAGACATGTTGCGGTGAGAACATCTTTGCTGCACTGCGAGTAGTTGAGCAATTACCTTTGTTTTTCTTTGAGCTGAAAGGTAATAATGTCCTTTATGGTATGTGCTGAGACACACCTTGGTTTTAACTGAAGGGTGATTCAGTGGCTCTGTATCACGTAAAGCAAAAGCAGGTTGGATCATTATAGATGACTTTTCAACAACATTACACAACTCATCGACATCAACTTTCACTGCTGAGTCTTGGCTGCAGCGACATCCCTTTGATCAGATGTAAAGGCCTAATACGGATCATGCTGTTTATATGTCAAGCAACACTCATGGTAATTAGGCACATTTAAGTCTCACAAACAATTAACAGCATCTGATTTGGTCAATTACAGGGTTGTGCAACTCCCAGCTGAGAGAGAGGATGTGACCACTAAGATAAAATTGCTCAGGATAAAAAAGCCCACAAGGACAAATTCATGGTTTTAAAAAAGGCAGGTGTTTGTGAAAGCTGTAGACAAAGTGATTAGCATTGCATTGAGTATGATCTGTGTGTTGTAGCCTTACCATCAATTATGAAGTAGAACCACACAGAAACAGAAGCAACCTTTACGTATGTGATGCAAGTTAACAATAAAAAGGCACATGAAAAGAAACATTTGGTAAAGCAATGCGTATTCCACGTCTGCTATCAAGTAAGACCAAACCCCCTTGATTCAGTGAGTTTCTTAAATAAATTCACCATGATGGTAATGTGCATCCAGTGTAAGTCTCTCTAGTGGTTTGGTTCAAAAAAATCATGGCAGATTCCTGTCTGTCCTTTTTGCTTTCCTTCAGGAACTTGTCGAGCTGTTCCCACTGGAGTTCTGCGTAAGGCAGGCTGGGAATGAGGACTGTGCTTTAGCCTGCTAGTTGCTAACACAAGTAGCTTTCGGATAAACTCACCATATTTCATAACTGAGGACTCTCAGGGGACCTAATATGAATATTTCATATTCTGGTGACTTTTTTTGGATAAATTACATGTGGCTAAATAATTTTGAAGTCACTGACCTTGCTCTAATAATGCCTTGTCAAAAGGACATACACAAAATATCTTCCATTTGCTCCCAAAGTTCATCAAGTGCATATATTTCCATTTCAAGCTATAGTTGGTAACTTCTATAAACTTTGTCATATTTGCTGAAACTGTCACTGCATCCGCACAATAGTGCCTGAGACAGATCATTTCCTCCTCCTCATAGTACCACCAGAGGCACTTGCAAGAATCCACCGTACGTGAGTGAAAACAGCAAATGGAAACAAAACAGGAGGAGTATGTAGCGCAGATGTCAACCGCTGCTCATAAACCCCAGTTCAACTGTCAATCTAGGCAGCACTGATCAAACATGAATCAAGATTCTGCTACCACATTGTCTATTTCTCCCTCAAATGTTTTCAGAAACATATTTTAGTGTACTGTTTAGCTATGAAATGAGAACGTCTCTGACTGAGCCACCAAGTTAGAAACAGTCGAGCCAAACTGAAGCAGCAAACTTCTTATTTCACAGCTGAAGAGACTCTTCAGTTCCGATTGGTTGTTTTCGTTCAGCAGCAGTGGATTCTTGCAAATGCCATTAGAAGCACTATGAGGAAGAGGAGGAACATGATTTTCTTTAAAGACTGTCTCATGTACTACTGTGTGGATGGAGTGACAGTTTCAGCAAATACATCAGGATTAAGGCTGGTGGCTACTGTGCTCTAAGACAGGGAGAATGCAGAGGTGGACACAACGAGAAGACAGAGGGAAGACTTCTGTGTACTAAAGTCACCTAGGAAACAGGAAGTTTGGAGCTAAGAGACCAGACTGTAAAAACAAGTGTGACTTATAAACAACAGAGCTCAGCCTCTGCTGATGACACAGCCTTCTGGGATGTATCTCAAGCCCAGACTTCCCTATTACTTCTTATCATAGCAAGACATTCACTTTAAATGTGCAAAATTAACTGAACTGAAAGCTACCTGCATGAGTCACTAGCAGACTAAAGCACAGATAGTTTGAATCCAGCCACACGCTATCAAAAGGCACACATCTTCAATAAGGCTTTTTCTCTCACACAAACACACACACACACACACACACACACACACACACACACATACACACTAGTGCTGTCCGTAAGGTGCTGAAGCAGCTTGCATACATATGAGCTATGTACATTATTAACACCAGGAGGAGGCAGAAGAGAACAGAAGACATGAATATATTGTTCACAGTCTGTCAGTCTGTCTGTCAGCCAGTCAGTTCTGTCTGTTCATCTGTCTTTACGTTGGCAGGTAGATTGTCCTGAGGTCTCCAGACAGACAGATACACACACGTCTGCTTGCCACTGCGTGGCCAATCAGGGCTTCATGATGATTGTCAGTCTTAATCTAGATATCGACATGCCTTTGATTCTTTTTGCAACTTGCTGCCGGTAAAGCTGGTTCGCCAACAGAGATGTAATTCCCCATGAAATGCTGCATTCATTGTTCTGTTATGAACACCTTTGTTCCATCATGTGTGCCAGTAAAACATTTCGTGCCATGTTTCACGCTTACACTTGAGCTTAGACTATTTTAAGATAGCAGGCACTGTCCTAATACTTAATGGTGAGGAGTCTTAACAGAATACTTAACACGCAAAAGGAGCATTTGTATATCAATTACTCACCCCGTGTTACCTTGATTGTGGAAGATAACTTTGTTTTTCTGGCATGCCTTCGCGTTGAACAGAGAATCCAAATAAGCACACACAGGAGTCCAAGCAAGCTGCTCAGCTACTCAAGATGTTTTAGCCAAAATGCCTGTGTTTGGGACGTACTGAGCAAATGATGGATAAATGAGACTTGGATTATACTGCACGAGTTGAGATAGTTTTGATATAGTTTTGCTGTTTAAAGCCGGCCCATTTAACTCCAGTTCATCAGGACTTTTCTCTGTTTTTGGATTCTTAGTCTGACGTGGAGGCGTGCCAGAAAAAGGAAGTTTTCTTCAGGGATTCAAGGTAACATGGGGTGAGTATCTGATATAAAAATGGGCATTTTGTGAGTGAAGTATTCCTTCAAAGAAAAAAAAAATCTTCCTGTGATCAACTATTAGGGACTATTAGTTGATTGTTTAGCTAAAGATCACAACAAAGTGGATGAATATGTGGATGTAGTTTCAAACCAGCAGTGAGGCAATACTAACTCAAAGATAATTCATTAAAACATGTATTTATCTACAGGTTGTGCAATTTAAAAAACATTCAGAAATTTTCACAACTAAAAGCAATTTTTTCATTAGGCATAATGTATGCTAAAGTGTTAGCACAATCTACAAGTGACACGTGGATGATTATGGTGTCTAAAAGACCAGGTGTCACCCAAAAGGGACAAGGACGACACGCAGGAGGTTCTGCCTATTCTACATGTCTGCATACATGTTTGTTGGTGTGTGCTGTCCACGTATCCATAAATTCTAAGCTGCACACAGATGGTCCGCAAACCCTCGCAGACATGGGAAGATGATGACATTTACATCACACAGACCCTCACATCCATACAAATGCAGCAATAATAAATTGGGCACATGTGCTGACCAATTAGTGGGCCTGTCAAGCCATGGAGAACTTAGTTAACACCAGTCAGCAGCAGTTTGAACTCATCGCCCGGACAGGAAGCTACAAAAAAATCAAAGGTTTTGAAGCTCGATCTCTTTTGGCTCCACACAGCCCTGATGGAGGAAACAAACTATCTCTGTCATTCCTATGCCCTGGAAGCAGTGATGATACTCCCTCATCTAGGGTAAGAGGTCAGGAGGAAGTCACATCCGAGGTTTTCATAATGACACTTGCACGCATCTCATGGGTGTGGCCGGTTGCGGCCGACGCGAGAGAGTTCTGGCTGTAGGCCGGCGTCCAGCCGTCAGTGTGGTAGCTGATGAGCGGGGATGGGTCTCGCGTGCTGGTGACCCTGAAGTTGGTCTTGCTTGTACTGACGAAGGTGGCCATGCCGGGAAGAGAACATGTGGGAACCCTGAGAACTGATGGTTTGTAGCCCCGCCTCCACACTGCACTGACACCCTGTCAGTTAAGACGATGAAAAAAGGAGAAGAGGTCCATAAGTGCATAAGTCACATACAGAGACACAAAAGCTGTGGCTAATATCTGACGTATGTTGTGGTAAAACACTACCACAAAAATGACCAGAGCTGAATCAGCATGTCTGTGATGCAGTCACAATATTTGTACAATATATGCTTCACATGCTGTTGCTCTGGCGACCATTAAAAAGTGTCAATGTTGCTGCATTTCTTATTGACTACTCTTATTTACAGCAAAAACTTTTCAAGAAAAGTTCCCATATGACAACATAGTAAAGAACACTGTACTGTTACCACTGATGAGAAGTACAGTGTGTGTGCATGTGTGTGTGTGTGTATGTGTGTGCACGTACAAGCGTGTGTTAGCTACAAAGGACAACCTCAGATCAAACAGTTAATGTTTGACAGCCTCAGTTCCTGACAAGGCCCTCCCCTTTCTTAGTCTCTCGCAACATTACAGGAAGGAACACACACACACACACACACACACACACACACACATACACTCTCACACACATACACTTTCACACACAAACACGCCCGGTTTCAGCTGTAAAGTTGAAACAGGTAGAAACCTGTTTATCTGCAGATGGGAGCAGTTAATTATTCATTCATCACTTTCTCCTCTTTGTATAATTGTGTATACTGGAAGACTCACCTCTTTGGTGTCCTCTGTGTCACTGTCTGTGTCGCTTCCTGTAGAAAAAAAGAAATAAAAAGACATAGATAAACTGTTTATACATTAGTATTCAGGTACATTTTGCAACAAGTCATCTTCTGCTCACATCAGGGAGGATGAGAAACAGGTAGACAAAGACATAAGGAGTGGTAAAACAAGGACAAGTTCAGTTAAACCAGTAAATCATATGGCTGGGCTCACGTCCAACAGTGCATTCTCCACTAGTATTCAAATTAAAATAGTTTAAACAAACACCTGCACACAATAACACAATTAAATGTAAGCATTTCTTAAAGCAAGCAAAGCAAAATACAAAAAAAGAAACAAAGAAAAGAAGGGATACATGACTGATTTTAAACCCTGACGCTTCAAGTCCTGGCAGCGATGGGGAAAGATAAAAAAGGAGAGACACAGAGACAAAGAACGAGAGGTGGAATGATTACATCTGTAAACTGACAGAGTCAACTCTGCCTGAATGACCGGTTGGGGAAGAGATGTGAGATAAACACATCACAGGGTGGCAATGAAACAATTACTGTAAGCTGAAAAATGGTGCATTATGTAATGACCTGTGAGCATCACAAAATAATAAGGTAATCCCCATGTTTAGTTTCCAGTGAGCTTGTATGGTTATGGATCTCTTTAACAGAGAAAGCAATCATTTCACATTATACTTGACACTTGCCTGTATTTAACTACAGCAAAAGCATTTCTGTTATTCCAACTAAAAGTTAAAAAAACAGCCCTAACAAGTCTAACTAAAAGACTGTTCACATTCATGATCATCTTTTCTATCGTTGGTTATTTCCAGCAGCTGATTTGCCCACACTGTTCTGCACTGAAGATAAGATCTGAGGACTGTGATACAGGAGACACAGACACTTAATGTGTATGATGTAATAGGGGATGATGTAATGGAAGTTATTAACAGTTCATGGGGTCACCGTCTGAAACACATTTGTGTTTTTTAGCTGGCTATTCAAAATCGACACAATTAATCCAAACTGAACAGCAGAAATCGATTTGGGTTTAACAGCCACATTAGGCTGTGTTTCATTACACACACACACACACACGTGCCATGAACTGTGCCCTAGAAAGTGTCTCCTCTGCATGTATAGTAACCACTGTGAGAGTGTGGTGAAAACTGTGGTTCAGAACAACGTGTACAGCGACTGCTTCTACAAGCCTGTTCACTAACCTATTTAAGCTCCTTCATATAACAATATGTGGTACAGTGTGATGTGTAAACGTGTGTTGTCTCACCGCAGCATGAAGACACAGGAGAGATTTGGAGCGGGTACGAGTGAGAGGAGCTGACGGTCTGCTCTTCGTTCTCAGTGGTCACTTCGATTGTCTGACAAACGAATGGCAGCTGCTCGCTGGTGATCACATGGCCATCTACGGAGCTGTGAATGGCTGTGGATGGATGGGCATAAATGTTATGACAGGCTGAAGACATATATTCACTCTACTGCTGTAAATGAATTATTGATAAAAATATCTCCAGTGTGTGGAAGGATTTAGTTACACATCTACCCGCTGTTGTTACAAGATAAAGAGTCATCTGCATCAGCTATTTGTACACTTCAAAATCCAAGAGTAGCGAGTCAATATTTACGAATTCACTGAGTTAAAAACAACCTGAGCACCGAGGTCTTCTCTCAGTGAGTTGCCAGAAAGCAGCCACGTGTGATCTCTACTAATTTTTTCTATTTAAAAAAAAAAAAAAAAGCACATGGATCAATTATGATATTTATTATCTAATGTCTTTTTACTGGCTCATTTTGTTGTCCTTTTTGCTTGTTTGTTAATGTGTTTCATTTTTTTGTGAAGCACTTTGAGCTACATCTCTTGTACAAAAAGTGCTGTTATTACTATTATCATTATTATTATTATCATTATTTCATACTGTGTGTGCTTAGATTTAACTCTTTCGCAATGTCAACACATCCAAACAGAAATATTTTCTAAAAATAGGCCCAAGTATGACCCAACATAACCATAAAATAAGAATAAAGCAGCCACTGGTGTTGTACCTGAGGCACTGTCCGTCACTGTGAGCTCTAGTGGCTCCTGCTTGACCCAATCGTGTTTGATCGATTCCTGTTTGGTGTAGTCGATAGGTCCAGCATGAGCGTCAGGAAGAGTCCTGTTTCGAGACGGAGAAGCTACCTGATGGTGAGAAGGGCAGAGTGGGAGAAGACTCAGAATGATGGAGGACTGATATATTCAATTGTGCATTTGTGTCCAAAAAGAATAATGACAGAAAAACATTTAATTTCATTCACACCAGTTATATGAACATCAGTACTCACACCCCCATTGAAACGTGAAACCCTCAGTGTAATGACTTCATAACATTTACACTGTGATGATGAGCAGCTGTGTTAAGACAGGAGGGGTGCAGTGACCCAGTGCACACACATTAGTCAGCTTTATGCTGATGGTTGAGGTATTAAGCTTTAAAAATACACTTGGAAGTGATGTTTATAAACAGCTAAGACCAAACCAGAATACTAACTGATGTCTGGAGCTCCAGGCATGTAAACACTGAAGTTACTGTGACCAAAATGTACTAAACTAACCAGCCAAATATCAAACACACACTCCTTAACACTTAATAACAAGTTGTTTATCAGACTGAACAGTCTCAGAGGGTGTAGCTGGGATTTATAACATCTCTACTGATTTAATTCTTTGTAACTTATTAAATTAAGTACTTTTAAAATGCTTAGTTGAAATTAATGTTTCCAGAGGAAATACAGTATAAAACTTATCTGGGTTTACTTAAGTGTATTTTGGACTATATCTAAAATGAATCCATTTCATTATCAATTTACAATTGAAGGCAGCAGCTACTGGTTTTACTGGTACACTGCTTGGAGAGTCAGGACCAAATGAGGGAGGAAGGCTTGGTTACTACTCCATTCTCTGGCAAATGTCTGTCATGTGGGAACCAGAGCCAGAGATGATTGTTCACGTCAGATATTCTGGTGATTTGCAGCTCAGGACTGAATATGTTTTGCTCTGCTTTGGCAGCTGCATTTCTCTGTAAACTAAAATATTTCTGTGATGTCACAAAACCAACCAAGAGGACAATCACTTATTTTCAGGTGTTATTATTTCCCAATTATGCTGCTATTCTTTAGCAGTGCTGCCACTTATGGAACTAGAATATAGAGACATAGAACGCCTTGCGGTTGTATGTCTCCACCAGCCAGTCAAGTTACAGTGTACGTCCATGTCTGTCCAGACTCATATGTAGCCATGACAACAGACAATGCTTCAAATACAGATGTTGCTGCAAAGACGCTACATTTTCTAAAACAAAGATTCTTCACACACATCTTCAAACCAGCAGCACAGAAGATCTAAACAGCACACTTTCAAGATTAGTGTCACTTCATCGTTTTATCCTATTAGATGTTTGTGTGGAATTTTGTCATAATTTGTGTATGAATTCTTGAGTTATGGCCAAAACCTGTTTTCTAAGGTTACAGTGACCTCTGAACACCAAGATCTACCCTGGTTTCATGTGTAAAAGGGCTTCGATTTGTTTATCTACCTCTTTATTTCCTTTGGCTCTTCCCTCCTTGTCTGTCTTCTTCTTTCCTGAACAGACATACAGACAGAGACACACACCTTTCAGACACTGATTTAAAAGCCACAATATGATGTCTGCCAAGTGTCTTAATACAGTGAATATGGAGTTATAAATAAGTCCTTTCAAGAGAAATGGATCAACTGTAGAGAAGTGTTGAGCTGAGGATCAGCAGCAGCACTCACCTTTCTTCAAGGTTCTCTCTGAGGAGGAGAGCATCCTATACATTCTGAAGGCGTTAGTTCCCTTTTTGATGCTTTTATCCTTCACCTCCTCGATGTCTGGCAAACTGTTCATTGCACAGCGGAAATTAGCCTTCCATGTCTTTGGATCTGGACGGTCTATGCCTGGCTGGTATTTACCTACACAGAAACAGACAATCACAGAAGTTTGACGAAGTGGTTAATTATTACTGTAGATGGCATACATCACAAAAGTGACCATCATTTTCCAGGTAAATCATTATTTAATTATGATTTCTTCATACATTACCCAGACAGCATTTGTCTGTATGTCCAAAAATGCTTCTTTGTTTGGTATGACACCCAAGAGCAGTGTCATAAATTCAGTAACTGACTAATGTCTCCCCTTCTGTTCCTGAGTTATGGTGTTGAAAAATGGCCAGAAAAGTGTTTTGGCAGAACATTATGATGTCACAGTGATATTAACCTTTGAACACTTGGATATAAAATGTCACCACTTTATCATTTTATCTTATTAGACATGGGTGGGAAATGTAGTCATGATTAGTGTATGGATTCTTGAGTTTTGGTCAAAAATGTGTTTAGTGAGGTTGCAGTGATCTTTGAATATAAAAATCGAATCATTCATTCTTGAGTCCAAGTGGACGTTTGTGCCAAATGCAAAGAAAGATGTTCTTGAGACACTGTTTTCACGAGAACGGGACAGAAGGACAACCCAGGAAACATTATGGTTCTGTCCTAAAAATAGTTATCTCAATAAATAACATACTTTATGTGGGTTTAGCTCGGTGAACCTGCTGGCTCTGAGAAATCTGAGGATTTTTTCAGCTTATATTGGTAATCAAATTAAGTATTACTAGTGTTAATATCGCCAAAAAGCTACATCTGTACACTCCAGCTGACTGCCAAAAGCAGGTTGATTTCAGCTGCTTTCCTGAAGTGTAGAACTGAAAATACAGTCATGTTTCCCACTGACAATGTCTGCATTTCTGGCTATTTCATTTGTGGAATATTTTTCTGAACCTGAGGACACACCCCTGGCAAGAATCTAGCTGCTTTTTGATACATTTTCCTCTTAACTGATGCAGGAAAAAGTTGTGGGACTTTCTACTCTTACAGAATCACTGTGTGCTTCCTGACAAAGGTACCTGTCAGGAAGCTTTCCGTGGCCTGACGGTATGGGACGCTCCTGAAACTCAATCATTTTGATTTCTTCCTAAAAATATTACGCAATTCGAAAGCTTCTTTGATTTTAGAAAGAGAACTGGTGTGGTGTTTTGCGGGCATGAAAATGAAACTCACTGAAAAGGAGAACCACTGTGAGTGTGTGTGTGGGTAGATCTGTGTATTACCAGTGTGTACGGCCCATCTCATGAAGAGCGGAGCATCTTTCTCCAGGTCCCAGCCATGACGCGCTGCATGCATCCATGGGATCTGGAAGATTCTTTTTTCCTGGAGACATTTACATTTTATCAGGCCTTGAACTATAATATTATTGTGCGTGTGTGTGTATGTGTATCATTGTACACTTACTTCGTTGACCCATTTAAGTCCTGGTATCTGGCAGGAGTTGATCTGTTCCTCCAGCCATGGCCGCATCCTCATTCTTTCTACTGGCATTGTGTCTGTAAGCACATGCACACAAATTCAGACACAAACGCATAAGCATGTACGTATATTATACGTTGCAACATCTGAGTATGATGACTGATAACATTTAACTTTAACTATTCAAAGAATTTTCTATACTATAGTATAGAATGAAAATTTGATTTTAACAGCAAAAAGGGTTGTAGTTAGTACAGGCAACAGTACAAATATCAAAACATAATGGTATGTGGCCCCCTCTGCCAACCCATGTGAGAGGAAGCAACCACTTTAAGTTATTTCTCATGAATAATCATTCTGATCACAACAAAGCTGAGAGCTGAATCCATTTTATCTGTGGTTGTAAAGATAAGACAGTGAACTTGCACTATCACAACTGTAACTGCAGCCGTGTAGCTCACTCCTGCCCATAACCACATATTGACAATCTTGATCTGATTAAATTACATTTCAAATATAATATTTTAGAAGACAAGAACAGAGGGAGGACGACAGAAAGAACTAAGAAAGATAATGAATACAGCATGTTTATTTTAAAACACCAAGAGGGAACTTGACCCACCCCACCCCACCACGTTTGATTAAGAGCAGGGTTATGATCACTGCGGTCTGATGTGACCAAAGTCCGGTGGGCCTGATTAGACACTCCCCATGCACGGCACAGTGAGCCAACACACTGCCTCCTGATGTGTGAGCGAGCTCCGCAACAGGTCAGACACGGTGACATGGCACAGCATCAAGTACAAAATATTAAGCCTTTTTTAATGAGCCATGGGGTTGAAACTTCCAGCTGCATCCAGCTTACAGGACACACAGGTTGACTGCAGTACAGTGACATCAGCTCTATATTGCTATGGCCAACCACAGCTTAAAAGGGTGGTAGTATGTTGAGTTGGTAGATTGTATGGCTGTGTTTGTGAGAAATATTAGTCATAAATTTCAGGGTTAAGATGCAAAAAAAAAGTAAGAAAATCATGTGGGAAAGTCATTAACTCACTCACTCAGATCATTATACTATGTGGCAATGTTTCTTTTCCCCTGATTGCACAATGAGTCACATTTACTACCCTTTGTTTAAAAAAAAAAAAAAAAAGCTACATAAATTGCACCAGTAGACAGGCTGTATGAATTATATTAAATAATATTTACAATTTCACCTTCAAAATCTACACCCTATATTTATTTAATAGTAAGTCACAAATGTCTAATGGTAAATTTCTGCATTACAAATGACACCATTTGTAAGTTTAAGTAAGGTTTTGAGGTCATGGCTTGCCCTGCTTACTGTCAACCACCCAAGTGCATATAATTCTTTCTCAAATGTCAACAACACACATCTTTAACTTGCAGAACAGGATATGTTACCTATAATGCAGCTGAAATAAGAAACTTCTTGCAATACTCTGATTTACTAACACATGCACGAAGCCTTGAATACAACATGAATACTGTCCACAAGTCAAATTTTTGCTCACATAAAATACAACTACAATACTTTAAAATACGACAAACTAACAAAACAAGACCCTGTGATACTAACATTACATTAACATATGCCACGTTACAGCCATATCACCTCTGATTTCTGGTAAATGTCACTAACAGGTTTATTTGAGGATTAAAGTTCGATTTAGCAAAGGGGGCTCAGCCAGCCAAGAGTTAACCGCGGTCTGTTTGTCTGCTGTCTGCCAGCCGTGTTGACCCAAAAACAACCAAGCCAAAAGTGAAAATAAATAGAGTACATCGTCAACAAACGCGGAGAAAAACTACAGTACTACTTTCACTTACAGAGCGAGCTAGGGAGCCGTCATGTCGTCCACAGGGAAGCCTGTGTGCTGTGTGAGAGCGCAAGTCAACAGCGTTAATATGCGGAAATAAAATGTTACCTGTTCAGTTTGGACGGCCTGGAGCCTCACAGTCCTGCTGTCACACTGACACGCGCAGCACAAGTTGCACGCGTGAAGTTATTTGAGGGTTTTAAGTGAAAAAGGAAAGCGAGGCCGTCGTTTTTTTTCTGTTTCTGTGTCCAGACCGAAAGCAAAACAACGGCTGGTTCGGGAAGTGGGGGCTCGAGCTGGAAATCCCCCTCCTGCCTCTCGTGCTCTCGCTTTGGCTCGCGAGCGAGCGGCGTCGCGGAAGTCTGTTGGCCGCGTGCGCGCTCCCTTGAAAATAAAGCGAATGAAGAGGGCTCACTCTGCTCTTATTTCCTGATACCACAACAGCCAACACAAGCCAGATCTCATGCTTTGTTTATTTATTTATTCATTTAGCACATAATTACAAGCCAGCAATAATAATATATAGTGGAGGGACACATCCCCAAAAAATCAAATATGCTCCAAATGTCACTGATAAAAAGTATTAATAAATTATTTAAAAAATCCTATTCTATGACAGGCAGCCATGCAAATATTCATAATTATAAATCATAAATAAAGTCAACAAATTGCCATTATTATTACTATTGGTTCTAGTATTATTGCAGTTATGCATGTTCAGGTGGTTTTGCTGTTCCATAGCAGATCACTGTTACAGGTGTATTTAACCAACATTAACGTCTTCATTATGTTAGATTTGTCAGATAGCTTATATGCAGTCTGAGTAAAGTGTCAGTAATTTTTGTTGCACTGCATGTACAATTTTTGTAGGCAGTAGTAGCTTTCATTTATTTCATACTGTATGGCTGTACTTGCTTATGATAAATAATATACTGTTACACAGTAGGAATTGAGTTTCCTTCTATGGGGGAGGGACCCCAGTCCCCCTAGCAGATTTAGTCACACCCCCACCCCAGTGATGACTATATGGCTACAACCTTGCATTCTTATAATTATATATGTAAATACACTAGTGTTTGCAAGAAGGCTTTTTTCATCTGTCATCCCTGGAACATGTTGCATTATCAGCCAATCAGTATATAGAATTAAAAATTAAATTACACCATGTATGTGTTGGATTAAGCACATTGCCATACCAATAGTCTATGAGACAACTGTAGTGCAAAATAAGAGTTTAAATGCACTAATGCATTGTCTTGTATTGGTGTGGCAAATGTGCTTCAGCATATTACCAAGCAGTATCATTTATGATCGTATAGTTTTGGTGAAGTACCTAGTTAGAAATTTTAGTTATTATGTCATTTAATTTCTTGTAGGGGGCATAGCACCAAATTCTGAGCTCTACATAGTCTATCTCTCGATCCATGTCTCACTCATACACCTTTAATTTTCTTTTTTCACAGAGTCTATTTGCTCTCTATACCTTTCCTTCCTTCCTGTCTTCCTTTAGTTATTTTCCTTTTTGGCACTGGCAGTGTATATTGGTGTTCCATGCAACATAAGCAGTCACTAGCTTGTATTTAACTGCATTTAGAGACATCTGGGTGGGAGGGGCCTTACAGAGCTTCAGCTGTTTTTTTACACAACGATCAGTCTCTCAACCAATTTATTTAGCCAATTTTAATATAGTTATGGCACTAATTACTTAGAAATAAAATTAAAAAATCAAACAAAAACAACCCTTATCATTCCAGGCTTTTTGAGGCCCCCTCCCATGGGGGGCCTGGATCTGTCCCACTTTTCCTCAACTTCAACGCCCCTGTGTCTTTTATATCTTTTGGTTATGGTTTGCCTTTTTATGTTCCCCCATGCACCTCAGACACTGTCCATACCACTGGTTATACGGTTGATATTCCACCTGTACATAGCTAAATTACCAAACATGACAAATACTATTAAATGCCTTCTATTAAAAGGATGTAAGGTTGAGTAAACCAACAGTGTGAACCACCACTGGTAATGTAGTCTAACTGCAGAGGAGCACATGGGGAAAACTGCCGGCCCATCGTTTTCTGTTGAAGCATAGACGATCTTTGAGCTGGATTTCATTTTCACTTCCTCTAACCTCTCCTCCTCCCCTCCTCCTCTCCTCTCCACTCCCCATTTCTGCATGGCTGAAGCTGGAAACGAAACAAGAAACTTTAAGCAAGTGTACATGTGCATGTGTGTGATTAGACGCCCCACCTGCAGTTATTTGGAAGATTCACATTTTCACTATATTTGCCTGTGTCCTTTGTCCCATGGTTAAAGATGGGTTAAAGAAAAAGGCCAAAGTGCACTTTAAACTGAGCACAAGAGTTTCAATAAGGAAGTCTGCTTATAGACTAAAACTGCACCGTTGCAGTTTCTGATGAAAATGTGTGCATGATTAAAAACGCAGCTGTGTCTAAATAGTAAATCATGATATTGCTAATACAATACAAATAATGTGAATTTATTATTAATTTGTAATAGTATTTACATGTAGTTAAACCCCAAAGTTATATTACAGTTTTTCAGTTCTGCAAAAGTTTAACAATGGCATTTATATCCTGTCTAATGTTATAATTTATTTAATTTTATGCACTTTAAAATAAAAAAAAATAATGTATGAATAGCGGCTATCCACGCTTGACATACAGTATACATATGCATTTTTAGATAAGGTTATGATCATGAAATTCCTGTCATTTCAGCCACACTTTGCCCCGTGCATGGCCCTTTCTGTTTACAACGAAGAGAAACTAGCTTTTGAAAATACAGGAAGTGAAAATATGATGTTTGAAAAACACTGTTATTTACTACCTACAAACTAAATACGTGCTAACGATATCAGGAGGCTGTTAAGAGCAGTCATACTGTCAGGACACAGCCCTCTGGACTGGCAGATTCAGGGTTATCTCTAACACACACACACACACACACACACACACACTGCAGCCAAGACTGGGTAAACTAATAGAGGAAGTTTACACATTAACAGCAAGACTGATGGGTCAAAAACAAGAGCAGCAATATAGACAGGAGGGAATATATCCAGGTAGAAACACAGTTATATCTCACATCATACATTTAGTGTGTATTATACATAAAGAGGGATTTAACCAAAAACCCTTGTTTAAATTATTGAGATACACAGAGACAACAGTGGCAGCTGGAGTCAAATATGGCACCTGCTCATCTGCAGACACACACACCATGGAGAAAACCTTATTTATTTTGTATGTGATGCATGTTATCTGTGCACCAAGGGTTAAATGCAGCCAGAATTTCAGTTCCTGGAATAGCACTGCTGATTCATTAAAGCCCCCCAGAGCTACTCTCCATGTTTCTCTGGCTTCCTCTAGTGGTTGTACGTTCACATGTCGCCACTAACTTAGAAAACAAGCCTGATAAACTGTCAATCATTCATTCATTTAAACTGTTTTTGACAATAGTCCAAATCAAAGTACACAGCAGGCTCAATGACAGGCTCATTAGCTTTATCAGTCTTCATGCATGGACAGGAAGTTCCAGGTAATGTGTTGATAATTTGGAACAAGGTACACAAAATGTTTCAAACGTAGGACACGTCTCACTTTTTAATAGTAAGCCAGCAGAGAGTGTTATGATTCCACACCTTAATGTCAATAGGCTGAATTCTTGGCCAGGAAAGCAGCCCAGCAAGACAGTACATTAAAGATGTCATTTTGTTTGGTGCCACCTTGAATATGCTGCCACCTTCTGGTCAAAAAACAAAACAAAAAAAAACAAATGTCTCAAAATAAGCTTATGAATGTTGTATCTAAATTCCATCTCTGTACACACTTGGATCTGACATGTTTCCAGGAACTTTTTTACAGTGGAAAGCCGAATTACTCAAAGCAAATTAGGTCTCACTAACAAATCTGAAAAGAGTGCAGTTCCTTGTTGCTTAATTCAACTTAAAAATTAATTAAAAAAAAAACAACAACCTAAATTCAAGCTATGCAGGTGTTTACTTTCATGGCTTTATATACAATTTATTTATTCAGATATTCACATTAACTAAGAACAATCACTTGGACATTAATTCATTCAATTTGGTGGTCAAAGGTCAAAGGTCAAGGTCACTTTGACCTCATAAAACATCTTTAAGCTGTAACGCAAGAATTCATTTGCTAACATTTTATACAGTTGTCTAACAGGATAAAATGATGAAGTGATGACATCTTAATATCCAAAAGGTCAAAGGTCAACATCACTGTGACACTATAATGCTCTGCAAAAGCACTTTTCTGGCCATTATTCAGCGTCATATCTCAGGAACACAAGGGTAAACATTTGGTCAGATACTGAATTGCTGACTCTAATCTTGAAACTGTGCTGATTGTATAGATCTTCTGTGTGTGAAGCGTCCATGTTTTCACACACATCGATGGAAACAGTCAGAGAAACTTGACTGGTGTGCGGAGTTCAGTGATGTCATCCTCAGCTTTGAGAAAGATCTTGAACCATGTTACCTTGTGCCTTCTTTGTTAACACTACTCGACTTAAGCCCTGATTTGCCACTTGTAAATAGTTGTTGGAGCTCCCTAACAGAGGTTCTAGATAAGACGCAGATCAGTGTTGGCTTTGCACTTGTAAAATTGGTACTCGAACGCTAACTGTTCAAAGATGTGAGGCCAAACGTTGCCAATGCAATGCAGATGTACTCCAGATATCTAACATGCTGAGTATCTGGACCTGTCGGGGACTCTGTCGGCAAGCTCCAGCTGATGAGAGCCCAAGACACAGGTTGAGACCAGAGACAAGAACTGAGCCCTGTGGTTCCTGCAATCATATCACAAAAGATGCACTGTAATGTATTACTTTATCCAACAGTACATCAAGTACTTACACTTCAACCTGCTGCAACATTAAAACGCTGCTCATGCACTGAGATTATAATCAAATAACAGGTCTGTACAATAATACAACACTTACAGGGATCAAGGAGTTATTCTATATTTGATACTTAAAGTACATTTAAGCAAATAAAACTGATGAAGACAGTACTGTTACTTATAATGGAGTGTGTGGTATTGCTACTTTTACTTAAATAAAGGATGGACTTCTTCCATGGATGACTCTCATGTGTCTTGTAATGACTTTTAACGGCTTTTTGTATCTAACATTTAATGCTTCAGTTGTACTTGCTTAGCGTTTGTGTTTATAAAGGTTTTATGGTATAAGATAATTCTTAAGGCTTACCTTACTTAAGGTTTGTTTGTTTGTTTGTTTGTTTGTTTGTTTGTTTGTTTGGTGGCACACAAACAGGTATATGGGTTTTACTCCTGTGACTTGTCTTTTATATTCCCATTCTTATTATTATTATAGATCCAAACTGATGTGTAGATCATAGAAGTCATGGCCTACCTTAAT